GTAATTGTGTTGAGGTCAGAGAGATAATCCCGATTTACACCGTGGTTAATATTTACGCAGGCGACAAAAGCAGCTTGCAGCCCTTCATCTCCAATTTTGGTAAATCGGAGTTAATTGTTCAGCAGGACAGTGAGGTGATGTACTGGTCACACCTGGTTTGTGCTGTGGCCCCTTATCTGCTGCCACAGAGCGAGCTAAGCTAAGCAGACAGTATCAGGACAAGTGTTTTCTTTGCCTCAGTCCCAGGAGCTCTGAATCAGCCTCTGGAACTGGAGCATGTGCTACCCGATGTCCAGATGTGTCCACTGACTCCAGATCCACCAGTTCTTGGCTGCTGTGGGTAAGGGCAGTGAAGGCCTGGCTATCTGGGGGGTCCAGCACCCCCAGACATGGAGGGGGGCTGCTGAGGTTTAGCGCTCAGGTACCTCAGAAGGTCATTCCTCCAGCCCCTGCTGCAAGCCAGATCAGTGCTGGATTCAGGTAAGTCTGTCCAGTGAGCAGGCATTTTTTCCAGCAATGGCTCAAACAAGGAATGGGCAGAGAGGAGCTCAGTTAAGTTCTAACCCTCTTGTCTGTGGTGAAGGAGAAGCAGAGGAGCCTGAGGTCGAGGCAGGACCAGCGCTGTGGCTACAGCTGTGCAGCTGGTCCACGGGCCAGCAACAGCACAGGGAGTCCCAGATAAAGCACACAGAGCCCAAGATCCTGGTTTCACTCCAACACCTGCACAGGCTTACCCTGTCCCTGGCACCCACAGAAACTCTCTTGCAGCAAAGGTTGCAACCAAGCGAGCAGAGAAGTCACCTTGACTTTGACAATGGCAAGGGTAGCCCTGGACACTGTGTTTGTCCTTCCTCACTGCCAGTAGGAGCTGAGGGATGGGATCATGATCTGTGCTGATGGAGCAAGAGCAGCAAATAGCTCTGGCAGTGTTTCCTTGGGTTGGTGGGTCACAGAGCAGAGGTTGGGGGGCAAAGCCCACCTGGGCATTGAGCCCTCCCAGGGACAGCAAGGACAGAGAAGGCAGGAGTGCAGCCCCAGTGCTCGCTGTGGGATGTGGATGTGAGAGAGGAATGGGCTCTGACGGAATTCTCACCCTCACAAGGACATACCCTGGCAGCTGTGGAGGGTACACCCAACCCAGGCTCAGCTCATTTCTCTGTGAATTTGTTCTGTCGACTGCCATGGCAGCGCTGCCCTTTGGCTCAGCTCTTCCCCGGGAAGCCGCAGGGTGATGCATCCCCGTGGCAGAGTGTCTTTCCCAGCTGCAAAATGTAGCCTTGGCTGCAGACTCAGCCGTGCCTTTGGGCAACAGGTCTGGCTGCCAAGGAATACTGAGCAGCTCCTGAAACACGCAGAGTAAATACCTGGTGCTGAGAGATAAATCCGGAGTCTCACGTTCCTACAGCTTTGTTTTGAAGGACACGAAAACCCTCTCCTGGTGCATCAGGATCATTACCACAGGCTGTTTAGGTGCTGGATCGCATCTCACAGGAAGATGGGCATGAGGACGAGCACTCAGAAGCTGCTGGTCCACATTTTTATGTCTTTTTAATTTTTTTTGTTAGTAAAAATGTCATTAATTATTAATGTCATTAATTATTAACTTTCCCCAGCATCTCTGCATACTTCTTTTGGTTCCACCCAGAAGTATGGTTTGTACCCAAAAGTATGGTCTGTACCCACAAAGTCTGCAGCAAACCTGCTGAGGTAGCTACACAGGCCTAGTAAAATAACCCTAGGGAAAAAGGGGATGTTTCACCTGGATCAGGCTGTGGATTCAGCACGTGCAGGGCTCCACAGAACTGTGCTGCTCCAGCGGACGGAGGGGAAAGGGAAGGCGAAGCAAGGGATCCCTAAGAGCTGCGTTGGTGCCGGAGGTGATGAGGTGGAGGGAGGGAAGGAGCGAGGGCAGCGGTACCTGCCCGGCGATGGCCTCCGCCCCTCAGGGCCCGGGCGGGGCGGATCACGGTCGCCGTGGTGACCGCATGGCCCCGCCCCTCACCCGGCACTGCCCAATCAGCGCCTCCATTTCCTCACGGCGCTGCACGCGAGGCTCCGTCCCATTGGCCCACGTGGCAGCCCCCGCCCCTGCCCTCATTACGGCCAATCAGCCTCAGCCACCGCGGCCCTGCGGCGGGGCGGGCCCCTATAAATTTGTCACCGGTGGGGGTTTGCAGTCACCGCCCGCTTCGCACCCATCATGGAGGAGTCGCTATCGCTGCTGGTCCGCAGCCCCGCACAGCGGCACCGCGATCTCCGCCTCAGTGCCGGGGCTGCCTGGACCGTGCGCCGGCTCAAGACCGAGCTGCGCCGGCTCCTGCCCGACGCGCCGGTGAGTGCGCGATCCCGTCTTCCCGCAGCCCCGCCGGGTGGGTGGTGGGGGCTGGCTCCCCGAGGGGCAGCGGCGGCAGCTGCCGTGGGGCTCTCGCGGGGCTCCGGGACCGGTACCTGCCCCGCGGCGTGTCCTGGTCCCGGTTGCGTCAGCCGCGCTTGGGCTGTTTTGGGACTCGTGCGCGGCCCGGCCGCGGTTAATCATTAACCGGCCTCCCGGGACAGCGCGTCCTGCAGCTGTGTGGGGACGTCAGAGCCCGCTGGCCCCGGGAGCAGCGCCCGGGCACCGCACCCAGCCGGGCCGCCAAGGCCCGTCCTGGCGCTTCGAGGGCGCCTTCCCGTTGAACGGGAGGCGCAGCGCTGGGTACGGCGGGGTTGAAATGCAGGAGTGCGGCTTTCCCCTGAGCCGCAGGACACGGGAGCTGACGCGTGAGGGCTGCCGGAGCCGCTGCGCCCCGTGAGGGCAGTGCTCCCGCAGGAGGCTGCCTGGCCTGCATAGAATCCATAAACTTGGAAAATGCCTCCGAGATCATGGAGTTCAACCTTCGACCAAATGCCCCTATCCCTACTACACGCTGTGAAGTGCCATGTCTATACTCATTTTTTGAAGAGTTCTAGGGATAGTGACTCCATTTCTGAGGGTAGCCAATTTCAATGCTTAGCCATTCCTTCGGTGAAGAAATGTTTCATAATATCCAACTGGAGACTGCCCTGCAAACTTAAGGCTGTTTCCCTTTGTCCTGTCACTAGTTGCCTGGGAGAAAGCTGGATTCCCATGCTTTCCCTGGGAGTGTGAGGATTACCCAGAAGCAGGCTCCTTGTGCTTCCACCAGCTGCTATGGGAAAGCTCCTGGTGAAGAGCTGCTGGCTCCCGTGGGATGGGGTGTAACAGATTTACTTGACACC